TGAACAACTCTTCAATTTGCACGAGATTTTTATCAATAGTGACTAGGCCAGGGGCTATAAAAAAATCAAACAGCGTAGTTATGTAAGGTTCAAATAAGCAATTTTCCGTCATCAATAAATATGTATGTACATTGGCCATTGAAGAAGAATTCTCTAAGAACTGATCTCAAGAAAAATGTCTTCATGCACTGCCAGGCGGACAGTTTTGTGTTGTCCTATCAAGGACAAAGAGCGAAAATGGATTAAAAATATTACGGAGTAATTCCTTCTAAAGATCGAAAATTTTACACTAGGACCATAAGGGTATCTACAAAGACATTTTCTAAAATCAAAAAACGTAGTCTTTCAAATATTTTATGTCTCTTGGTCATTTTGAGGTCTTATATATTATATGTTCATTGTTATTATACTATTGATAAACACTTGCCACTTGGAGTTACAAAACTCATATAGAAACATTATATAATTTATAAATTAAGATTTCATATGGAAGTTTTACCCGGGGCAACGCCCGGGTACAAAACTAGTAGCAAATAAAGAGAAACTCCTTTCACAATACAATGATAACCGGTACTGCAAGATCCGGATGGGCTCATTTAGGCATGGCAATGGATCGGGGCGGGTACTGCAAGATCCGGACCCGCCTCGTGACTTGGTGGGGCGGGTCCGCCCCGCCTCGTGACCTGCACGGCTCCAAACTTGTTGACCCATGACCCGCCCCATGCGGAGCGGGTCCGCCCCGCCCCGCCGTAACTCAATTAGCTAGTATGTATTTTTATTTGTGGGAAGTTGTTACCAAGTGGATATACATAAAGTTTATTTCTAAATAAAAATTAAAAATTAATATATTGAATGTAATTCATGATACGCTAAAAATTTCAAAAATAAAGGAAAAATTACTCAGACTTGAATAGTTAATCTATTTAATTATATTAATAATAGAATATATGTATTAAAATGCTATATATAAAGAAGAATTGATAATCTGTCATTCATCTCATTCTAATATATGTATTAATATATTATAAGATCAAAGAATTGATGATTTATTGTATACACATATGTATGTTGAAGTATATTTGTAGAATAATTTAAGAAAAAATATGTATACTTATATATTGAGCGGGTCGGGTCGGGGCGGCACGGGTCAATACTAATACCCGGACCCACCCCATTGTATAGGCGGGGCGGGGCGGACCCGCCCCATTTTCAAGACGGGGCGGGGCGGACCCGTCCCAAATGTCTCGGGCCAGGGCGGATCATTGCGGGTCGGTTTTTTTTGACATCCCTAGGCTCATTTAATATCATGAGCCGAAATCTCAAATGTTTAGATAAGGCTCAATTTTAAAATCAACTATTCCCTTATAGGCTTATGGTACCTAAACTAATATTCATAATTAAAGTATATATTTAGAGAAATACCAAAGTAATGTTGAATCACAAAGCCGTATACATATATATCATTAAAGTTCGATGTATAAAAGAAAACCACTATCGTATATTGAAAAGGGGTTATAGTCTTAGTTCTGAACCGCAACTGAGACTGTTGGAAGTTGTAATCCAAAACCTAATTAGGATTGTATTATGACTACAAAAATAGGTAATAAGAATAGTTTGGTTATACAGTAGTCTATACATGGGGTAAAATTGAATAGTCCGAGTTTTGATTATATTTTTTTAAATGCTCTATGTTCATGTTCAAAGTTATCTAACTGGGTTGAGAACGAGATTTACTTTACAATTGTCATGTCTGCACAACCCCAAATGTGCACTAATAATTTATGATCTAGTTAAGTTTTCTTCAATCATGATACATGAACTAACCTAGCTAATAATGTAACGAGAAGGATACTTTGTAATGTGTTGATAAATTATTTTTACGATAAATGTTTACATTTTTTTTACACAAGAAATCAAAGCATTTATCAAATTTGAGGTTGGTTGGAGCCTAGCGTGGTGCTCTAGCAATGTCCTTGAACTGACTGTTCTGGAATGGACCTGACCCAACCGTTGTTCATTTGTGACTCCCTTCATAAGAATTTTGGGTCAGTCACTTATCATCATCATTTATATAAAATCAAAATGATAAAAGTTAGGTGGAACACTCAAACTTATTACTTTTTTTTAAAGAGAAAACTTATTTATTAATGATAAAATTAATGAGACATAAAGCAATATAATAGCACAAGACTACACTGCATGAGATGAGACATCAAATCGACTTGCTCCCCAGGACCAATCAGATTCGCTAATCTCACGTCTATGTAGTCCAATCTAACAAAATTGCTGAACTTAGTATTCAAATGACGATTAAAAGAAAACAAATTGTCCTTACAAGGAAAGAAATAAATTAATTCAAGCATCCCAATTTTACCCGCCACCGGAAAGGGAAAAGAGGTTTGCCCAACCACCTTCAAAGGAGCACTCCGTGTTTACTTTCCATTTTTGAGTTGTCGCCATCGACCTCCGTGTTTAATTGGACCCCCCTAAACCTTGAAAATTAATTGCCCTTCTCTTCCTTGATTCTCCTTCCTTCATAACTCTGCCCTGGTCCTGGTCCTCAACAATTCGCATCTTCTCTTTTCCCTTTGAAGTTAATCCTTGGACTAAGTAAAATTCATCTCGTTCTTCCCCAATCAAGGGTTTTACAACACTATCACTTTCTTCTTTGTAGTTCATGGATCCTCTTCCCCCACTCGGAACAAGTCATTTATTTCTTGGATGCATCCCACCACGACGTAAATTCGCACGCATCCGGGAGCCATAAGGCCTCTCCCCAATCCAAGCCCCCAAGCGGGTGTTTCATGGGTAATAGCGGTCAACATATCCTAGCACCCACAAATGAAGCAAAAATTAGGGAGTCGCTCATAATCTAAGTCTTCCCACAACCAATTGTCGTCCTCTTCCTTGATCCGTGTCCTCCTCTTCAATGCATTCTTAATGTGAATGAAAACTCTAATGCGAACATACTCTTTACGAGTTCCTTTTAGAATCCTCTCATCAATCTGAACCAGTCTTCCTAAATAAGTACCAATAGTCGTCGCTAATTTTGGGACCGGGTCGGGCCGGGTTTTAATTAATTAATTTATTTATTTATTTATTTATTTATTATTATTTAGCTTTTCTAATTAATTCCACCCCCACTCCCCAAACCCCCCCAAAATATCCACCCCAACCCGCCTACCACCAAAAAAACTTGGGAAAAAAAAAAATTGGGCCCGGACCGAGCCCTGTCTGGCCGGGCCGGTTCCAAAGGAGTTGCATCCCGGAACCGCCCCCCTGCAAACACCCCGGATTGGCCCTAGGCCCGGAACCGGTCCCGGTTCACAGGTCCGGTCCCGCACAGTGGCGGGCCGGTCAAGTTCCCAGACCGGTCAGACCGGAACCGGGTCACCCATAGACACAATCACACATATGTATGTTGAAGTATATTTGTAATATAATTTTAAAAAAGTATGTATACTTGTATATTGAGCGGGTCGGGTCGAGGTCGCACGGGTCAATACTAATATCCGGACCTGCCCCATTGTATGGGCAGGGCGGACCCGTCTTAAATGTCTCGGGCCAGGTCGGGTCATTGCGGACTGGGTTTTTTGACATGCCTACAGATGTTGAAAGGTATTAATAATAGAATGTTAATAAGTACAAACACGATAAATGAGGGAAAAAAGTGCAAATCATAAATACACTTTGTTGGAGCGAGATGAAAAGATGAAGAGATAATAAATCAAAGGGAAAAGTATAGAAAAGGTACCAGTGGGTTGGGCCGTTTTCAGATAGGGGCACATGTTTCATTTTTTAACAAAGTGGGACATGTGTTTCAATTCCTTTATCACAGGAGAGTCATTACATCTAAGTATCTAACACCGTTAGAAAATCTAATCCCGATTTTCAAAAGTCTACGAAACATTAAAAGAAAAATACTGGGAAGTGCGCCTCGTCAAGGAGACCAACAAACTATCTTTCTTTTCTTGTTTCCAGCCACCATGCCGCCAAAAAATCAGTCGGAAAAGTGATATTAACAAATTCATTTTAAAAAAAAAATATAAATAGAGCTGAAAATTTCAAAGAGAACGATAGTTTGTTGGTCTCCTCGACGAGGCGCACCTCTCAGTATTTTTCTTTTAATGTTTCAGAGACTTCTGAAAATCGGGGTTAAATTTTCTAACGGCGTTAGACGTCATGCCCCTGCAGTGATAACGGGATTGAAGCACATGTCCCACTTTGTTAAAAAACGAAACATGTGCCCCTATCTGAAAACGGCCCAAACCTCAGGTACCTTTTCCGTACTTTTCCCTAAATCAAATGTATTTACTTTTTTTTTTTTGAATATAAAGAATAAGATTTTTGTATCGAAATCGAGAAAAGATACAAGATAACATTCAGGCAGTTAAGACAAGTTCGATTGTGAGCCCCGGAAATAGACATATAATCAATTATTTCATACAAATCAATCTGATTCGCTCGACACGAAACATGCAATTTTAAGCATTAAACAATCGGGACTGAAATACTATCTATCAAATTGCATATATTTAAAGTGTACTTACTTAGATTAACACATATGTTGAACACTTACATATGAAAATGAATTTATTTAAAATACGGAGTAGAATCCAATTGATATTTCAATTATAGTTCTATTGACCAATGGACAAATCAAATAAAAAGGGTCTTACTATTTGTGTTCCTTTACTGACATGAAGATTAATAAATATACTACCTATATGATTGAAATTTGTGCAGATGAGAGATAATAATTTTTTTTAATTATAAGACGCTTATATCATTAAAATAGTATTCAACAGGGATATAAGAATGTGGAAGGACCACATGTAACTATCCGCCAACAAAATCTGAAAATCTGAAAAGTGCCTTCTGCGATGCCCTAGGAGCTCTCTAAGTTTTTTTTTTTCCTCTAACGTGAGAGATAATAAATTAAAATCACAAATTTACAATTTTACCCCAACAAAATTTAAGCAAAAGAGAGTATAAACGTGTGAAACTTTGCAGCCATGACCGTTTGTGTTCAACTCGATTCGTATATGGCAGGGACACTCCGAACCACATTCCTCAATCCCCTCACCGCAGGATGTATGACTTCCGTTCGCCGCCGACTTTATTTTCCGGGTACCCTCTTTCCATTTTCCTGCAATCATTACTCGGTCAGAATCCAACTCCGTCCAGCACTCGCTCGGAAGTGTCCCTCATTTCCTTCAATTCCTATCAGAGCCCAAAAACAATCTTACCAGGTTGGTTTCTTGTATATGTAGTTAAATTTGGAATCCAGAGCGTGAGAACAACGATGGTTTCCTTCAGGGTAATGAAAGTGAAAACCAAATTCCAGTAGAAGACTACAATTGGGCGGCACCTATTCTGAATTTCGCATCAAATAATTTTCTTCCATTAGGTATGTTTGTGATGTCCGAACTGCATGATTCACTATCAATAAAATTGGTCCTTGTTTTGCAAACTTCGATGTGGGTGGAGACTGGAGCAAATGCTCAAGGGGAATTTTTATGCCGCTTTACTACAAAGTATCAATTTCCAGTGATTTGTTATCATGTTATGGGATGATTGACAAGGCATCATCTTTTTTATTGCCTCCATTTTTTTGTAGTATTGCATTCAACTTTTTATAACACTAAGTTTGTTAAAAGAAAAGGATGTATATGAATACGATTTTTTTATATAATTCGTTCTTAATTACGGAGTACTAGGTACTCCCTAAAATTCATAAGCAACACTTACCCAGCGGAAGAACCACGGGAAAAAGGAGTTTAGTGCGATCTTGGACTGCAAAAGGAGTATATCTTAGTTAGACTAGAAAAGAAGAGATAGGGAGCTGACAAACACAACCTTGGAGAAGTTGTATGTATCCCTTCTATGTTGAGGTTGTCAGACTCATCGACATGATGAAGCCTGTTTAGTAATTAGGTTGTGTATTGTGGAAGAACCTTTCTGATGATTTTCTTGTTTCTCAAATACCCAAGTGTAGAGTTGCATTTTTATCTTCAAATTCAAATGCTCTGTCAAAACTGTGCACTATTATTTAAACCCACTACAATGCTATACAGTGGACCTAATAGCATGACAATGACGTTAGTTTATCATATGGCCTTGCAGTATAGGTTTACATTAAAACATGTTGAGTAACTTACCTCAACACAAACATTGCTTTTACCAAGTCTCACCTTAGGCATACATGTGCATGCTAGGTTAGTCATGTTTTCTGAAGCAGAATGTGCTCCAATATCTTCCATGAGATCCAAGATCTGAGTTATCTAATAAAGCTGTTTGATTTTCTCCAGGAGAATAAAATTCTGAATATCATTGCAAAAGAAACACACGTAGGTTAAAAGGTCTGGCAATAGTTGGTTGTTTAGGAATCCTATTAGATTTAGTCAAATAGGAATACAATAATTAAATAAACACTTAATAATGTCTCTTACTTTAAACTAGCTATCAGCTAGGGCTCTTTATGGTAACTTAAGGGCTTAGATTATTACTTTAAGAAATAAAACATTCATGAAATAGACCCATTATAGAGATTAGAGACAAAGAGCTATTCAAATTGTTTATTTATTTGTATGTGCATTTGTTCAGATGTCTGTCACTCGAAATAAACATTGGTGACTGTTGAGTTTTAAAAAGGGAAGTTAACGTGAAAGTGCTTTTTATTGTTTAAACTTGCTCTGGCAGATATAGGGCATGAAGTGGAGTATAATATATAGGTTGTTATCATACCTGTTATTGCTTGTGGAGTTGGGGAAAGATTAAATTGTTAAAGAAATTAGTGATACATTGGAATGAGTGGAATGACCATTTGAGAAGTAGCATATCAGGAATAGGCGTATGCAGGTTTGATAAGAAAAAAAAGTACTAGTCTTGGTATGCTTTTGGGATAATTCCATGAATAGTAGAACATCTGTATATCTTAAAAAGGAGCGGTATGTTTTATAGGAGTAAAAAATTGAGTAAATGGACAAAATACTCCTACTTGTATAATTAAATTTTTACAATACAAAAGTAATATTTACTGGCACCGGACTGGAAAAATATGGTCATCCTGAAACTATACTTCCATCCTTGTATTATCATCCTAGATTCCGAGTTTCCGGTCACTCACACCAAGTACTGACGTACTGTCATCTTGAAACTATAGTGGATTCCCTATGACCGCTAGCCAAGATTGTCATCCTAAAATCTCTCTGTCTTCCTGATATTGACCGTTAGGTGTGACTGGCACTGGCGGCTGCAGTTGGTTGTGTTGATAGGTGGGATGCAATTTATTTTATTTATTATTAGAAAATTGAATTTTATTTGTATGACATGAGTACATATAATTAAGAAAATTTGGCGAAGGAAACAATAGAATAGGTAGTCCGATATAGAGAATGATCTTTTGAGAACTGTCAGATCAGGACTTGGCAAGAAAACAATAGAATAGGTAGTCCGATATAGAGAATGATCTATTGCTTATCAAGGTTTGATAAGCAATAGAAATGCATGAGTCGTACTCTGTATTATTTCTGTATGTGGAAAACTTTGTTCTGTATTATAGATGCATAACAATTACTTAATTTTGTGTACAGCTCTTATATGCGGAGTAACCCTTGGGTTGGCAAATCCTAGCCTTGGTTGTATTGCAGATAGATATTATCTCTCCAAGCTCAGCACTTTTGGGATATTCACTATCTCCGGTAATACCATTGTTGTCACTGTTATTATTTTATTTTTCATATTGCTAATGACCTGTTATCTACCTTCTTTCGATACAGGGCTGACACTCCGTACAGAAGAAATCGCTGCTGCTGCTGAAGCTTGGCCGGTTGCACTGTTTGGTCTTGTATGAACTTCCTTCTCATGTGCCAATTTACTTTTTGTAGGTTCATTTTTTCCATCTCTCCACTTTTTGCATTAGCTAGCTGTAGTTTTTTAACATGCTGCTTCATTGCAGATTTGCAGGACATGGACTGATTTATTTTTCTTTCATATAAATTCGTATACTCCTTTTGGAAGCATTTTAAGTTTGTATGTCCATGAGTGTGAGTGAGATAGTGAGAGTGTGCACATTAAGTCTATATTTGCTAGACCCAGGTGCTGTGTTTATGTATATTTCACTTTTGAAAATAGTGGATGACCAAAGTTCCACCATATAACACTGCCATAACCCACCGTTCTTCACAAATTTTGCATGAATTATGTTGAACGTAGACATAATAACAATTTCCTACATACTCAACCACCAAGAGAATTGTGTATTCTATATTTGATGATTATATATTTTGTCAGTTTCTCTTGTCTTTCGATTAATGCAGGCTTCTATTTTGTTCATCACACCTCTGTTTTCAAAGATTATTTTGCTGCTTCGGCTTCAGCCTCAAGAATTCATCACAGGTTATAAAGATAATTTTGTATTTAAATGAAAGAAAACGTTATTATAGCTGTCATTTGATAATTATATAAGAATACTTTAAGTTTTTGAACAAATAGAAAGTGTTAGATGCATAGCTAGGGGTATAAACTTCCGACTCTTTCTGAGCAATCAACGGTCATCTTTGGCTTGTACAGGTCTAGCTATATTTTGCTGCATGCCAACAACATTATCTAGCGGAGTGGCTCTAACTAGGGTATGGCAAATCGCTCAGATATTATCAGATACTACTACTTATAGTAGTTATCCCCATGATTTTAAATTGTGGTCGTGCGGTTCGGCTATTGCAGCTGCTGCAATGTGTATTGCAGCCACTGCGATGGGTATTGTGTTTGCATGAAATACTAATAAATAAAAATTATGAGAAAAATGTGTTAGTGTAGAAACATACATGTAGAAGAAAAATGAAAAGAATATGAAATGCTAAAAGGTAGTCCATGGCAAGATAACGTGCTCAACATCCTAGGGCGGTTCAACACTAAGAAGTCCTAAATTCTATTAGTCGCTGAATACCTTCTATGCTTACGGAAATCTTCATTGTGAAAGGGGCATTAGTAGCGATGTGTTCTAACTTCTGACCTAATATAGCACAATATGTAAATAAGCAGAAAATAAGTTGATTGAAGAATTATAGCTGTTCTATTTAAGCTTCTGATTTCTAGAATTATGCCGAGCCCTAAAACCCGTAACTGATCTGACCCCCTTTATCTTGCTTATTTTACTTCCTTCAAGCCTCTATGACTCTATCACAAACCCACCCGTATTTGGCCTGCAACCTGCCCGTGACGGGCAACAAAGTGGGATGTAATACATTGTATTTTTGGCAATAAGTTACAAGGAGAAATATCACACAGGATAAAAATAAATGAAATATAATATCACCTTCCAATGAAAATTTAATTAGGTATATAGTTATATACACTATGAAGTGTTGTGAATATGATAGCTTAACTCTATGTAAATTGTAAAGTATTTAGGATTATATTTTGTATAATTACATGGCATTAGAATTGATTAAATAGTATTGGCTTTTATATTTGAAAAAGTATTGTATTTTATATTTGTATTTAATAATTTACACATGGGTCACCTGGTCCACTCTGGGGATGGGCGAGCTTGCACTTTTACGTACACTCCCTGCCCCATTGCCAAAGTAAGTATTTCTATATTGATTGTAGTTTTGAAATGCCAAAGTGCAGCTGGCTGGAGGAAATTCTGCCCTTGCTCTTACAATCACATTGATATCAAGTCTCACAGGAATTCTGATTGTATGTTAGCGCACTGTTATGACTTATGCGATTCTATGTCAAAAAGTTTACACTATTATCTAACATAGATATATTTCTAATGCTTTCCAATGTGATCTTAGATACCGTTTTCCATCTCAAAGCTCATTGCCAGGGGAGTTGGTCTACCTGTTCCGACTCAGCAGCTGTTGACAGGCCTTGTTCTAACACTCTTGGTTCCTCTCATTCTCGGGAAGGTGTCTTTCACTCTGAAGAAGCATATCTTGTAAAGAATTGTAAATTTAAATTTTCTGTTTTCTATTTCTCATTGGAGAAAAAGTTCCTAATTGTTAATGCCCCATGAACTCCTGAATCCCTATGTATTTGTTTCCTTTAGAGTTACTTTAGTTTGAGTGTTATGGAGCCATGGAGGAAGGGCAGGGGTGATATTTAATTTTCAATAATTTCTACATTGCTGTTTAAAAGTCTATATATAAATTCATAATGTAACCAACCACATGGCTATTTCTGATGTAAGATTTAAATAATTTAGTAAAATAAAAGGCAGTAATGCCCTTCCCTTTGAAACTCCCAAACCAAACAAGCCCCTTAAAGCACTATCGTCCTTTAGTTTACTTGTTGTCAACGGACTAATGAATTCTTTTTCTTGGTTCAACAGGTTTTTCGAGATTCTTTCAAGAGTGAGTTTTACATTCGTGGCACATACTCGTTACTGAAAGTAGTTTTACTCATTTTGAAATAGAAGTATAATCAGATAATCAATATATACTCGGTCTCTCATTGGCTACAATCTTAGCACATACTACGTTACTGACATCCACACTATATTATGGATTTCCTTATACTTAAACATGGGGCATTACTGATCCAATTGTTCATCCAATCAACTACCTGTTGTCATAAGTTACTGATTCTAGACTTTGTTATGCTTTGGGAATAAGTCTGGAAATGACCCAACATAGGAGCTAAAACCATGTGAAATACCAAAATAGAAGTATTACTTTTCTCCATAATAGGAGTAATTACTGCTATACTTTGGAAATACTGCCAATTATAGTAGTAATACTGCCACAATTATGCCTAGTAATGACAAAATATGGCAGTATGATTTGAGGATGTACTCCTATTTTTCAATTTCACATTATTTTTATTTCTATTTTGGGAAATTTCCCATAAACTGCGGGCTTACATTTCCCTTTATCTATGGATGCACCTGATGCAGGATTGGCAGAATTTGCTGATCTGAATCGCAAGCTCCTGTCTGTGACAAGTGCAGTTCTCCTCAGTTTAGTAAGATCAATATTTGTCTGGTTTTCTCATTCTTTGTGTGTAAAATCGCCCCACCCCCACCCCCACATACTTCTCGAAGTACTCCTATGCGTAATATTCTGAGCGTCTCTTGCTTCAAATGCCAAATTACTACAGTGAGGCAGCTATGATTCGAGATCGTGAAGAGTATCTTTGAAAATCACAAGTTCCGTAAATGAAACAGTAATTCCTGTTTTTTCTTTCTTATTTATTTATTTATCTAAACAGGCCCCATTTATACAAGTGAGTAAATCAAGATCACTGCTCTTACTGGTTAACCCAGCTGCTTTTCTCATTGCAGTGGTCATGGGAGCGTAAGCATGCATTCCTCTTAATTCCATCCCATGACTTCCTCCAATTTAAGTTTCCTAACTCTTTGTGCACTTTTGACCATTTGGGTCAGGGGTAGCAAAAAGAAAGACTTGATTAATTTTTATTAGGAGATTGGTATTTGCATTCCATGTTTATACCGACATTTGACTTTATGTCCTATGTTCTTTTATTTGACTTTGCACCCGAGGACTCCTCTGAGCTGGGTGCAAAATCAAATTGTAGGGCAGACTTGGGTGCGAATACAATTTTTTCGTTATGCTTTGAGAAAGTGGACAAATGGATTCTTTGGTCACCCCTAATTTGGATAAAAATTTCTTCTAATCGAGAAAAACTATATTGTTCTGCAGGCTTTTGCATGTAATATTATTTTCTTTTAACGCTCTTGCGATAAGAATTTTCTCTCTTGGTGGACCCAAATCAGCTTTCGCGAAGAAGGAAAATGCCAGTGCCCTCTTATTTGTTGCGAGCCAGGTGAAATACAATTTCTCTGAATTGGCTGTGTGTCTCCTATTATTAGATGTTAAACTAAAGAAAATAGTGATAGAAACATAGGCAGTATGTCATATATTAATCCTAGTTTTAGCAGTATCATGGTGTCATGTTCACAAGTTTAGGTTTCTATATTGGATTTATGGCACCCATTGTATCTCTCTATATAAGTTACTCCATATGTTATAGTGATATAGTGTATGTATGAAGCACACCAACTTCCCATGGATTTAGTTTTCTCCATTTTAATTTCCCGGGGGCAGCTTCCATAATTAAAAAGAATTTGGAATTCTGTTTTCTTAAATATTAAGGGCCTGTTTACTAACAGAAATATTTTCCACTTTTCCAGAAAACTGGAAAACTGGAAAACAGAAAACAGGAAACGTGTTTACCAAAGAAATTCCTGGAAAACTGGAAAAAGGAAAAAAGAAAAATGCGTTTACCAAATCGTTTTCCAAAACGGAAAAAATGAAACATGTCTCTCTTTTCCTTAATGATTTGGAGAAGTGACTTTTACTAGTTTTCCAAATTTGGAAAACGCAGATGCTACAGTGCCTTTGCAATGAATTTGCATACTTACACCTAGTGGTGGGTCCGATCCCGCTCCGATGTCGATTCCATTCCGGTACCTCCATCCTCGTACCTTACCCCTACCCTACCCTACCCTACCCACCCAACCCCCACCCCGCGTACCCATTTTTCCCTATAATGACCTTACCCCACCCCCCCACCACATGCCCCGACCTCGGCCCCACCCCGATCCACCCTACCCTACCGCCACCCCCCTACCACCTCGACCCCACCTCGATCCACCTTACCCTACCGCCACCCCCTACCACCTCGACCCCACCCCGACCCACCCTACCCTACCCCCACCCCTCGTATATTACCACTTACCCCTACCTTACCCCTTACCACATGCCTCCTACCTCGGCCCCACCCCACCGCCATCCTACCCCCCACCGCCACCCTACCCTACCTCGGCCCCACCCGGATCCCGGGCCCACCCTACCGCCATCCTATCCCACCCTACCCTACCCCTACCTTACCCCAACCCCAAACCCTACCCACTACCCCCACCCTTATCGCCATCCTACCCTTTCCCTACCCCAGCCCCACCCTGGTCCCGACCCCACCCTATCCCAACTCCCTACCCTACCCCTACCTTACCCCAACCCCAAACCCCACCCACTACCCCACCCTTACCGTCATCCTACCCCCCACCCTACCCCTTCCCTACCCCGGCCCCACCCTGGTCCCGACCCCACCCTACCGCCATCCTATCCCAACTCCCTACCCTACCCCTACCTTACCCCAACCCTACCCACTACTCCACCCTTAACCCTCATCACGACCCTAACCCATCCACTACCCCCACCCAACCCCCTACCCCTAGACCTTACCACCCCAACCATACCCCTTACCCCCACCCCCACCCATAACTTCCCTACCCGACCTCTAGGAGTAGGTATGGGTGGGTATGAAGGGTTGTGGTGGAGTATGAGTAGAGTGTAAGATCGTGGTAAGGGTAGAGGTAGGGGTCAAGAGTGTGAAATTGGAGAACTGTGTGAAAAAATTGATGAACATGTTTTCAAATTTGAAAATGGAAAACTAAAAAATAGAAACAGAAAATTGGAGATAGAAAAACTGAAAAATAAAAACAGAAAATTGGAGAACGAAAAACAGAAGTAGAAAACAGGAAAATATCTTTGTTAGTAAACAGGCCCTAAATGTTCTGGAAACTTCAAATTCCGTGATGAAATAGAGCATTTTAAGAACATTTTAGTTGATTTTATATGATTCTTTTTAGCATCACGGTCATATTTCATAACCCAATGTAATGCAATAAATGTATAGTCCTCATTTCATGTATATTTATGTACTAATATGTAATACTTTCTAAATTCAACATGTAGACTATTTATGTGGTTTCCAAACAAAGTTACATGGAAACATATGAGCACATACATAAATGAAATGACATGTAAGCATATATATGAATGTGTTGATAAATATATCCTCACATTTTCTTATATATCTTTTAAAAATATTATCGTGTTTATATCGTATACTTTTTAGAAATCATGTTTAGAAAATATGAAGGTGTAAGCCTCTAATCATATAGATAACACAAATAATAGTCTCTATTTTATATTAGAAAACGTTACCGGTCATGGTAGCTGTTGTTGAACAGCTTGGTGGTGCACTGGGTGAACCTGGTCTGCTGATTCTTCCCGGTGTAGCAGCCCATTTGAGCCAGGTTGGTTATTCAATATTCCTTTTTATTTTTATTTTATAAAAAACTACTATCATTTTTTGATGTAGTTTATAAATAAGCTTCGTTTATTGACACAAAAAGATTCGTGCAGATAATCATGGATTCATTTGTAGTCAACTATTGGCAGAAGGATCGAGCTAATAATCTATAGTATCGAGCCAATAATCATTTGTGTTTATTCCTTCGATGCATGGGCTTCCTGAATTTTACCTAAACACATCCATGTTAAATGTACTTTGATCAAGTGCTCAAGAGTTTTTTTCCGTATTAATGCTAATTAATTAAGTATTTACGAAAATAGGGTTGAGTTAAAAGTATTTACGGATATACTGCTGGGCTTAACCCTGGTCGGGGTAAGTCGCCAAACCATTTGGCGACTTATAAGTCGCCCAACCCATAAATTAATAAACAGGGTTAAGCTAACCTCGAGAACCCACCAGTCTAGTATCGAGAAAGAAAGTTGTCTTTTGAGAGCTCATCACTTGGGAAGTTAAAGAAGCCCACCAGGGTGTGAGCTTCTTTAACTTTCCCACACCTGAACTCCTTGTGGGAAGTTTGAAGGCTATAAATATGAATCACTCATCACTTAATATTAAAAGATGAAGGAGAATAGGGGAGCTCTCGCGCACACAAGAATTCCGGCTTCTAGTTCAGAACCGAAAATTCACACCCCCCTGCGCGGGCGACCTGCGGACACGATAGTCGTAAAATTCAGCGGGTCTCAAAAGACAATTTTGCCCCTCTTTTCTTTCCTTTTTTTTAAACTTTCTTTCTCAATACTGGACTGGTGGGTTCTCGAGGTAAGTCGCCAAACCGTGGGTTCTCGATACTTTCTTTCTTTCCTTTTCTTTCCTGTTTATTAATTTATGGGTAAGTCGCCAAACCGTTGGGCGACTTATAAGTCGCCAAACGGTTAACGGTTTGGCGACTTACCCCGACCAGGGTTAAGCCCAACAGTATATCCGTAAATACTTTTAACCCAACCCTATTTTCGTTAATACTTAATTAATTAGCATTAATACGGAAAAAAACTCAGTGCTCAATCACAAGTTATTTAGTACTAGAGCATCATTCCTTTTGAAGGTCTCCTTTTGAAAATAACGTTTGCAGGCAATCATCATCATCATTACCCGAGTGTCACAAAGGCTCCCATCTATGATGGGGTAAGGGGGGTTGGATGTCCGCAGTCTTGCCCCTGTACTAAAACACCAAGAGATTGTTTTTAGGACTTTAGTGAGCCATCTGTGAAATTCACGTCGAAAATTGCACGCACTGACTACTACTTCATAATAAAGAAGTGTAGATAGTTTAGGACTTGAGTGAGCCATTTTGCTTTGTTCCATCATATTTCCAAGGAAAAAAAACGAGTCTTTGGCTCCATTAAAAATGATTAAAAACATTTGGAGGCAATGATAAAATAAAATAATTGAAATTATTGTAATAATGACATTGTTATATGAGTGCATTAACATTGACATGTAATGATAAAATGATTAAAATCTCCAGTCAGGAGAGCTAATTATTTTACACAATGGATATGAAAATCTTGATACGAGACGCCTAAAAAAGTTATGTGAGAATCCTGAAATGGACAATGAGAATACAAGCTAAATGATTTTGTTAGGTATTTGTTACATACTCCCTCCGTTCTTTTTTATTAGTCCTTCTTTCCTTTTTGGGATGTTTTTTTTGTTTGTCTCCTTTCCCTTTAAGGAAAGTTTTTGAGAAAATACCCCTACTTTTATTACTTTTACCCCACTTACTTTTTACAAACTATTTTCTCATTCCTACTTTACCATCACTTTACTCTTCTTAATACACTCTCTTTCCTACTTTATCATCACTTTACTCTTTTTAATATACCATCTCTCCTACTTTATCATTTACCCTACACACTCTATACTTATCCTATTACTTTATTATTAAATCCCGTGTCAAACCCTAAGGGGACTGATAAAAAAGAACGGAGGTAGTACTTATGAACGGTTTTAATTGTGCCACATCATTTAAAATGAAAAGTTCAATCTAAAATCAAATTTTGTTATTTGTATTCAAAAGCTTAGATCTTTTGCACACAATATAACTATATAAGTAGGGTTGTAAACGAATCAAATAATTTATGCTCGGTTCGCGATTCGAATTCGTATAAGACGGTTCATTTTCGAAAAATTCAAATACAAATAAGAATACTAAATTTGATTCGAATTGTTATCAAATACAAATACGAATATCACTATATTCGATTTGAATGGTAATCAAATATATTCGATTTATATTAGTGATAACATTAATAATAGTAATAATCTACTATAATATAAAAGCAAAATCTATGAAAACACTGTTTTTTCAACAGTCTTCCCGCCCATATTCCTAAGGCAAGAATCCACAAGGAGAAATTACATAAATAGCCCTGTGAAAAGCCTCTGTGAAGGGTAAAATTGCAAAACATTAAATATGATTACACTTTGAACAGTTGAGCCGTTATTCACAGTTAGCCATTGCCAAAAAGTAAAAAGTTATACATGATCTATAGTATAAAGTTGAAAGATATACATCATATACAGTAGAATTAAACAGTAAAAAGAAAATATTGATGGAACATTGCGCATCTTCAGCATTTCAGCCAGCCTGTCTGAAGCTGCCTGTCTGTCTTGAGTTTATGTTGAGGCATGCGTACACACATCTCCATAAAAATAAGGAGTATTAAATCTGAAAAAGAAGAAAAAAAATATCACTTCATAATACAGCCAGCCTGTCTCTTGGGACGCGTGAACCTTCCTCCGGAAGGATTGTTCATTTTCCCTATAAATACTAGAATCCTCATTGCAAAAAAACACCACTCACCTTCTACCTGAGTGGCCAAGCGGCGAGGCTAAGACTTTGTCGGCAATGCAAGTAGCCAAGGGGGTGAAGAAGGGAGAGCCGACATTCTTAGCCGTACTTAAGGTGGACGACAAGACGGAAGGGGCGAAGGGCCGACGGGCGTACCACCTATTATCGAAGCTGTCCTTGAGGAGAACAAGGACGTGATGCCGGCGAAGCTACCGGAGAAGCTACCACCTAGGAGGGAGGTGGATCACAAGATCGAGTTGGGAAGATCATCCACTTCCCTATCAATTCTTCAACCTCTTCTCTCTCTCTCTCTCTCTCTCTCTCTCTTCACTATCAGCCTGGAATACGAAAGAGTATCATTCCAAGTAGTTCTTCTCTTAATTAGAGATCTAAATTACAATATTTTGCTTTAAATGAAAATTGATTGGTTGTTGGAATATTGTTCAACTATCTAACATACATCAGTTGAATGAACTACTATGTTATTTATCTTTTCTTTTGATCAAGTGAAAAATAAACATGAGATGCTAAGAACAACAAAAGGTATGAATGCAACTACATGTGAGTGATATGTGATCCTATTATTTGCTTAGGATTAGGATACAAAAATAAATGGAGTACTGCTTAGTCTTAATTTAATGATTGATACGTAGATGTTTTAAGTCAAGGATAAAGAAATATTGTTGATTGTATATTCAGATATGTTTAAACTATAAATAAATCCACAACCATTAAGATCTATCGATATTATAAGTTGTGTTTGTTTAGTTGTATTAGCTGTATAGTTAACATTTGTCTTTGAAGTATAGCATTAATTTTTTAGCTATAAATACTAGAAAACTGACTTCCAACGAATACATTCGATTGTTTTATTTCTTCTCATTCAAAGTTTTAAGCATAAGCAAGTATATTATCTGTGGATACACACACACGCACATGCATGTAATGAATGGAAAGTATAACATTATATACTACCGGAAGGAGGAAAGCAAATGAGCATTCAACTTTATAAGTATAAGCCAAAGAAGAAAAACTGTAGATCTAGTTATTTGACTTTACAAAATAGCAAGCTTCTAAGAAGCAATGGGTCTCTTCACGGTCATACGGTATTTTTTAGCTCATGAAAAACCAAACATAAGGCTTATATCCTAAACTCATTATTTATTCTCATAGTAAATTGATTAAACATAATAATAAATTGTTTTTCTGCTATATTTTATTAGTTTCAAAGATTATAACTGATTATAGACAGTGGAAATGGAAGGAATTATCCTAATTATAGTTACATAAGAATGTATTCCACTCTATACCAAAAGTTTTTTCATTTCAAAAGATTACCATGTGAAGTCATATGTTGACAATAATGTGAACATAAACTAATTGAAGTTAACTGAAGTTAAACTGTTGAATCTATTTATTTTATTAATTGATTGTGTCGTTAAGGTCCTGAGGACATAAATAATTTACATTTAAATAGGCACAAATTGAGAAACAAATTTACATTCAAATCAAGCTATTTTCAACAATTTCACTTAATTTATTAGAGAACTAAAATTCTAATTGTTTACAAATATCAAACAGTGATAGTTTTATCTAAGCAATAAAAGCAAAATAGATGAATGAAGGGAAAACTGTCAAATAGGTTCTCAAAGTTTCATAAAAAAAATCAATTAAGTCCTTCTATAGGAGACTTTGTTCGGCCGTCGCGATTTGGAGCGGTTCCCGGTGGAATTTTTTGATGAAATTTTTTGAGCATCTTATTCATCAAGTCTAGTTTATTCATACCAAATTTGAGCTAAAAATTAAATTGAGAACACATTCAAATTAACTCTTGAAGATAACTGCGCATTTTTGCATTCTCGAATTAATTTAAATGCGTTTTCAATTGAATTTTTAGATGAAATTTGGTATGAGTAAACTAGACTTGATGAATAAGATGCTCAAAAAATTTCATCAAAAAATTCCACCGGGAATCGCCCCAAATCGCGATGGCCGGACATAGTCTCTTATAGAAGGACTTAATTGACTTTTTTTATGATAGTTCGAGGACTTATTTGACAATTTTCCCATGAATGAACTATAAGAACATTCTTTTCTTACATCACATGCCACATGCCCATCAAATGCTCTTATCACATGAAGATTATTACAATTTTCAAAATCATTAAAAAACCTGCTAGATAAGTGAATAGATTTCCATGATATTTGCCAAAATTCTTACCTTCATATTACCATATATATGATCTGTTGAAAGGGAGAGTAATTAAAATGAATGCAAGCTAGCAAAATGTTAAAATGCATTTGTTGCCTTAGGTTGTGGAAGTAGTAAGCTAGAATGAAATCCAAATGAAATTTGCATATTTTGGGAGATACTACGTTTTAGATAATTTTGAATTGCCAAATCAATTGACAAGCTCTACAGTACAAGCTCTTTCAACAGAATATGAAAACAGTGAGCCTGGTTTGAGGTAAACCAACATTTATAAAACGAATACAATGGTGAAAACGTTTTATGATAAGTCGTGGGACAAAAGGAATAATTTGGCCACTATGATATTTAACTTTATAACCAATAAAATTTTATGGAACACGATGGTTTTATCCATCTTCAAACTCACCCACCGTGCAACGCACTGGTACAATACTAGTCATAATAATAACACTATAATAACTTTTAAAAACTAGCCATACCCTCAAAGTGTAGTCCATATATACATTTACGGTATACAAATTTCAAGCCAATTTTTAATAAATCAGAAGTAACATAAGGAGTGAGAGTTGCAAACGAAACAAATGATTTTAATTTGATTCATGTTTTGGATTCACAAATTACGATTTAAATTCGAAAGTATATATAGAATATATTCAATTATCAATTCATTTCACACATTATATGTATAATTTCTAATATGTGTATGTTAGTGTTTATTTCAAAAACATTGAAAAATATTTATGTATAGTAATCATAACATTGATTCACTTTAGTATATTGTGGACAACCTAAAAATGCATCGAACCATTAAACTTAAAGAAAAAATGTAATGTTACAAATTAAATTCTAAAACATATATTAAGTCATAACATGCATTTATAACATAAGAAATATAGGAAACGTTGTTTTAAAGTGATATTTGAATAATATTTAACTTATGATCAAATCGATTCGATATTCGTTAACTATTCGTATTTTTAAACAAATACAAATACAAATAAAAAATAATATTCGTTTCATATTCGAATTCAGATTCGTATTCGAAAAATTTACACAAATACAAATACAAAATCACACTATTCAATTTGATTCGTTTACAATCCTATATAAGTAAACTCCCCTCTCCCTTCACCCCCTTCTCTACCCTCTCTACCCTTCCAATTCAAGCCTTCTTCACCCCCAAAGATATTCATCCTCTTTCTACCCTTTCATTTCTAAATCACGTGTAGATTGATCATAAGGTCAACTAAATAATTGGTTTTTGCTCTTACAAATAAATGTTGTCTACCTGAGAAAAATGTATTAGAAATTTCATATTTTATTCACACGTATAACCAAAATTGATCACACGAACAATTATTATC